CTTCAGAGACTAAAATAAATAAATACGGAGATAGAGGGTCCCCTTGTCAGAAGTCGCGCTATGGGAAAATAGGTCCTAAAAATCCCAATCAAACTGAATAAAATAGTTAACAGATCTGACACACTCCATAACCACCTGGATCCATCGCTCACTAAAGCCCATTTTAGCTAAAATTCATTCTAAAAAAATCCAGTCCACCTTGTCATATGCTTTGCTCATATCCAGTTTTAGAGCAATATGCCCCTCCTTCCCTTTAGTTTTTCGCTTGAGGTAATGATGAGTTTCAAAAGCGACTATAATATTATCCGTAATGGACCTCCCCGGAATAAAATCACTCTGACTTTCTCCCACTAAGCCATGCAAAATGCCTTTCAACCTGTTCGCTAAAATTTTGGGGAAAAAAATTGAACACCACATTGCACAACGCAATAGGCCTCCAATCACACATGCACTCAGGTTTATCCTTCTTAGGTATCAACACAATATTAGTAGTATTGATATGATCAGCTAACTTACCTGATTCAAACATACTTCTACATAGAGCCGATACATCCGGTCCCACTACGTCCCAGTAGGCCTGAAAGAATGTTGGGTTCATGCCATCCGAGCCTGGCGCTTTATCTTGATGCATATCAAAGACAACAATCTTCACCTCCTCCGGGCAGATTGGAAAGTGAATATTGTTAAGAAACAATTAAATATTTATAATTAAAATAAATGTTTTTTTATAAAAAAAATGTGACATGCTTTAGTATAGTATTTATATAATTAACTGTAGTCATATTAACTCATATTCAACTTTTACTCTTAGGTACTTATTATGCTATTATGTTCATATATACTAAATTTAGTCATATTATGGATGTTTTGAATTGATTGTTCTTCTGATTCTTTTTTAAAGATGAAACTTAATTAGTTTTTGTGAAGTTGGTCTCCCTCAGAGTTAAAAAATATGCAATTTCAGTTAAACGTTTCAATATCTACTTCTGCTCCTTGAAGAACCAGAAACAGTTTTAAAAAGTAGATTCAAATACACCTTATGTAAATAAATTTTATTGAAGCACTCCATTTGTGCTGAAGTTTTACTTATAATAGGGGTTGACACAATGTTTAGAGAAAAATTATTAGAGAAAACGTATGAAAGAGAAGTTAAACAGTCGAAAAAGTAAGAATAGTTGAATATTTTTAAAAAGAGAAAACTTGACGAAAATAATAAATGTAATAAAAATAAAAATACATCAAAAAACAGCGTGTAGTAAACATTTCAATATGAGGGGTTTCATATTTGAAATGTTTGTTATACCTTAATTTTTGGGATGTATTGAAATAGTTGCTGCGCTTTCTTTTTCGAGATGCATTTTAATTTTCGTTACACTTTTTTGAGTAAGTTTTCCATTAAAAGAATAATGCGAATATTACTCTTAGAGTTGTAATGGAGATAAAATATTACTAATTTATGTCAGAACAAAAAAGTGACTCATGCCTTACTTTTCTCCCGTCTTTCCATCCACCTACTGCGCCCCAGACTCCTGCTTATCTTCAGGCGGGTGGCCTCCACCCACCTCTACCACATCCGCAATGCCAACGCTCCACCGTTGCCTTCTCCGCATCCACGTCGTCGGTGTTAACTATGCAAGTTTGTCATTCTTCTCCTTTTCTTCATTCGCTTCTTCTCATCTTCTATATGGATGAGGGTTAAATCCCTTCAAATCCGTAGTTAGCATAACAGAGATGTATGGCAAACGATGGCGAGCGATGAGATCGATTGGAGTTTGACGATGATGAAGAGTGGCAACTATGGTGGTGATGGAAGTTACTATGACAAGATCATGACTGATGGTGCTAGGCTGATAGTTGGTTGGCCGAAATGTGTCTCACTGAACGGCCACACGTGGCAACCAGAGAACTGTCGCCACGTAGGGTTTCAGGGCGACAATGGTAGGGCCGTTGCAGGGAAATTGCTAGGGGCAGTGGTTGGGCCGTTGCAGGGACTGGATTGGGATAGTGGCGGTACAAATCATAGGGAGGGGGGCTAGAAAGAGTTAGGGCGTGCTATAAGTTTCCTCGGGGGAAAAAATGTCGGAAAGTTTGACGGTCATAGTGACATGTTTCACAATAGTAACCTTTGTAAGTGACATGAAAATTTGGTAATGACATTCTGTTGGTGGCAAGAATCTCGTAGAAACATCATGTTTTCCAAATATATAACCTTGTTAGTCACATTTTTGTAACTTTAAAAAATGACCACTTTTATGTCCATTATCTATTTTTAATAATATTCAAAGTCAGAACCCCATTTTTCTTTAATAATACGGAGTACTTAATTACTATTCCCTTTGTTTTTCTAATAAATATCACGTATTCCTTTTTGGGATGTTTTTAAATATTTTTCCATCTTTCTTCTTTTAGTAACTTTTGTCAATCAAAATACCTTTATATTCACACATTTAGAAAAATAATTTAAACACCTCAAACCTCAATGTTTTGTAAAATGAGTATCCAAACTTGCATATGTAATAATATTTACTCCGAACTTTATATAAAAAGTTATTTTCGCACCACGATTGTATGTTTTTTTACAAATACAATTTATTGGAATAATAATTACATAATTTAGAAATACTCTAAGCTTTGTCAGAATGTAGTTAACATTTTAAAATTTCATTTGTGAAATAAATACATTGCATCCTGTACAATTTAATTTTAATTGTATCCTCAGTTTGTGTATTTTAAATTATGTACTTAATACCATAAAATAATACGGAATATTTGTAAACAAACATATGATCATTGTGACAATATAACTTTTTATATAAAGTTTGGGATATATACACTCCCTCCATATTTTAAAGTTTGCTACACTTTCCTTTTTTGATATATTTAAAAGTTTGCTACAATTTCCCTTTTTGGCAAGTTTTTCCTTTAAAAATATTCAATTACCCTTACTTTTTCTACTTTTTATCTTCTCTTTCATACTTTTCCACCTCCTTTTCTACTTTTTCCACACTATTCATTACCCCTACTATTTTATCCTTAAATCTTGTGCTCAAACCTATTGTAGAGAACATTGAAATACGGAGGGAGTATTACATATGCAAGTTTTGAGTACTTATCTCACACGCCTTCAAAGTTTGAGATATTTAACTCATTTTCCTCTCACTTTTATTTCTCTTACCCCTTTTTACTGTTTTCATACCACTTTCTCTTTTATTTTTTACTTTATCATTACTACTCCGTATTTTCAATAGTTTCTCTTTCCTACTTTTTCAGTTACTCTACGCCCTCTATACTACCCCTACTATTTTTCTCTTAAAAACTACAATAAACCTAAGAGGACTATTAATTAAGAATGGAGGGAGTATTAGTTTTTCTACGTTTTATCTTCGTTTTCATACATTTCAACCACCTATCCTCAAAATATTCAAGAAGACCCATATAACTTACTTATAGAGTTGTGTTGGGTATTGTGACACTATATCCCATGTGATTCCCTTATGAAGCCTCCTCGAATCTACTTCACTTTTCCCGTTTTTCATAGGAAAAATTGGTATTATTAATCTCAACTATTTGTGGTCCGCTTTTAATAATCCCTATTTTAGATTATTTTCTTATAGTCCCAACTTTGATCACCATTTTCCTTAAATAGTCCGACAGACCTAAAAAAAACGGTAATTCCAATACTTAAACCCAACAACCGGTTAATCCATCTCAATACCACCATAGCTAAACCAGCAATTTTCTTCTCACCTACATGCCCCCACGCCCACCCTAGCAGCTGGAAAAATCATTTGGCACCAAGACAGTTTTGACATTCGAATTGAAGGTTAAGCAGAGAGCAGGAGTCACGCATCTGTCCATTTTTCTTCTTCTTCTGTTTAGACTCTACTTTTGTTTCAAGATCTCATTGGCGTTGAACAGTGGTAGGTCATTCACGGAGATAGAAAATTGTCCGAGATCTCTAGGGGATGCGAAGAAGACGACAAATTCTTCTTGTGCTCGATTTTTTTAGAAAGTTCTTGAATCGATTTTAGGTTGGAAAAAAACAAATAGGTAGATGGGTTGATTGAAGATTTCAATCGTCTATCCTAGATAGTCCAGTGAATGGTTATGATTTTTAATCAAAGGAAATTGAATTGGATCTTTGAAGCTACGTCGGATTGAGAGAGAACAAGAAGGTTACGTTCTTCTGTGTGTTTAGATCGTTTGCTACAGAGTTGCTTAGAAAACAAATCCTTGGAAGCTTCAAATGGAAGATGAAAATCTGCTCCTGCGCATTCGACCGGCGAAGAAACGTGAACTGTTCACGTACTTGAGGGAGGATGTTTTATCACCTTTAGTATAGCATGTGAGACACACGTGCTTGTTCTTTTCCGGTTACCTCTTGGGACAACCAGTTAGGGATTATTTAAAGAAAATGGGGTTCAAAGTTGGGACTATATGGAAATAATCTATAATAAGGATTATTAAAAGCAGATCACGGATAGTTGGGATTAATAATACCAACTTTTCATTTTTCATATCCTAATCATTATTCTAATTGTTTTTTCATTAAATATTGTGTCAAACATTTTAATAGTGAACGGTAAAATAATAATAGAAATAATTTAAAATATATAACCAAAACAAAAATAGTGAAAAAATGTGTTATAATAACTTTAATGATTATAATTGTACCCAAATCTTACATTGATTAGAAACTTACACATAGTATTATAATTCTATTTTTGTCCATAAACTTTTTACTAATTACCAAATACTCCATCCGTCCCGTTAGAAGGTTCTCACTTTCCTTTTTTGGACATCCCGTTAAAAGGTTCCCATTTCCATTTTAGGAAACAATTAACAATTTTAAGTGATAAATTAGTCATTAAATATTTAAAACAATACATTTATAACATCACAATTATCAATACTAACACATTAAAATATATACCTATTAAAATTATTTCTCAAAATATACCCTAAATACTTTATTTAAGTATCATCTAAAATAATCGTGTGGTTTTGTTGCCGGAACCTTCTATGGTGGCAGACATTCATAAAGAGACGAATAAGGAAACAACCTTCCAAAATTGGAGGTTACTACGTTTTAGTAAAAACCTCAATGGTGTATTGGGCGCTGTTTCTGTATCTTGATTCTCTATTATCGCGTGCGTTTCTTTTTTCCAGGGTGTTTCCTTTTCTCGGATGTCAAACCCTAGATTCTCAGCTTGAGAAAAGAAAAAGCAGAAATCAGGAGAGGTAGGCTAATGCAGATCGTCTTGAGCTAGGAAGGAGAACGGGAGCAGCGCATGTTCATTTCAATATATATACACGCACAACGGAGGTTCGCATAGGCAATTGCCTTCTAACTATATTGAGTCTGGACTTTATGCTCAGAGGGGATCGGAACTAAATTCAGAATAGCAGCTTAGATCCAATTTTGGAAGGTTATTTCCTTATTCGTCTCTTTATGAATGTCTGCCTCCATATATATCTCTGTATGACTTACATTTGGCATTGTATAGCGCACATATATATGGATGAGGGATTGCTTTGGCTTGGCGGCATGTTAGCGTTTTTATCCTCTATTCAATTTCATTTTTGAATCTGACGTATTTCCCAAGCTTTTCTTTTGATGGCAGTTTTAGTGTTTGAGGGAATGCGCTTTATATTTGTAGATGCTAAATCTGAGAATTGGTGATGTTGCTAAAGTTAGTTAGCAAAAATCAATCGAATTTCATAAGTTACATACCATATAGTTTTGTCAACAATGGAAATCAATATAATTGGATCCACTGTAGTGCTTAACTATGGAAGTAGATTGTTCAAAAAAAAACTATGGAAGTAGATTGTTATCAAGAAGAACGTGCAGGACATAGATTATTTTTTATATACTTCTGGGTAAAGTTATAATGTTCAACTAACATGTGCTTGAGCAGTCGAGCCCCTTTGTTAAAACTGTGCTTTTGTTAAAATAATGCTTTTGATAAAATAACTTTTGTAATATATTTTACTATTATAGAGAAAGCTATTCCTATGCGTCCTAGTAAAGCCTCCTTTAACTGTGTATTTAATTCTTTTTAAGGAAAAAATGTGTGGTTCCTATTATTTCTCTAAACTCACTGTTCATTTTTTAACAAGCTTTCCTAGTCAAACTATCACCTTATTTTGAAATGGAGGGGCAGTTCTTTAACAGCAATAAGGGGTAAAAACTCCGTTGTACAAAAGCAAGAAAATCAACATGAAGTGAAAATTGCACCGGTGCCAAAATTTAAAAAGGATATTTCGGGTATCGAGGCGGTTTGTTCTGGAGAAGTGAGGCGTAAACCTCAAAATGTACCAACAAATAAAACTTAAAATATTTAAATTACTAAACACCGACTAAAGATATGCATAATTGCAAGTCCAATATATCTCGAACACAAACTCATTATATGATCACATTATCAAACATGATAATTCAAAATGAGAATCCCAACGCACAAACAAACACATCACACAGATGGCACAATAGAAAGCTGGAAGCTTAATTGCCATATCTTATATTCTTATAGCCTTATCACAATCATCATATCTTATAGCCTTAACACTATCATCCCTTCCATCATTACTAACAAATTCCTCCCATTCTTACCGTTCTGCAGGAGTATGGAAATACTTTAACGATTTTCACTTGTCAGACTTGTAAGGGTTTAGCAAGTATATGTCTTCACACGTTTAATGCATGGGCCTTTCATGAAATAAAATTTACTGGACCTCATTTAAGTTACAACCGCAGAAAAAAGAAACAAGCCAAAAATATCCCGCCTAAAAAAAATGCCTTGTCTCACAACCCTCCTCTTAACCGCTTTTTTATACAATGACCGGTGCACATATTATTTTGGCATTGAGACAGTAGATGTTCTTTTATGTATGTAATAATATGGGTTTTAGAACTTCCATGGGCCAAGGCATGGACATAACTATTCACTATACTTTCTATCCCTAACTTTGTTTCATATGCATGTATTTGGGAGTAGTTATTGAAAATTAAATTTCATACAGATATTTTCATTCAGCTACACATTCTTAACAATGACAGACAAACTATCAAGTTTTAGGAGCCACTTTGTCGAAACTGTGCTTTTAATAAAATGGCTTTTGTATCCAGTTTTAGAGGAGACTAACACTCTTGGTCCTAGTAAAGCTTACTAAAACAGAATGTTTATTTATTATGAAGGATTTTTTTCATACAACAGCAACAACATTCAAGCCTTAATCCCAAAAGAGTTTGGGTCAGCTAACGTGAATCGACATATGATAAGGAAAATATTTGTGGTACATATTACTTCTCCCACCACAAAATTCAATTTTTAATAAGCGTTCCTAGTCAAACCATTACCTTATTTTGACATGGAGGGAGCAGCTCTTTAGCAGCCCTAAGCACCACTTTACAAAAGCAAGAATTCCAACACCAGTGAAAATTGTTCTTGTGCTGCTGTGCATATATCATTTTGGCATGGAGACGATGCATGTTCTATTATTTACATAATATATGGTTTTTAGAATTTCTCTGGGCCAAGGCATAGCCATGAGTATTCACTACGGTTTCTATCCTTAACCTTTTTTCTTATGCAAGTTTTGGGAAATATTTGCTGAAAATTAATTTCGTACGGACTTTCATTCAGGTACATATTCTGAACAATGACAGACAATATATCAAGTTTTTGGGGCCCTGTGACTTCTAAAGAATGGTGTGAACCGAACTATGTCTACTCATCTTATATTGCAGAGTTTTTCAATACCGTCTCAAATACCCCATGCATTATTTTGGCTCTCATTGGCCTGGTGAATGCCTTACGTCAGCGATTTGAAAAAAGGTTTAGCGTCCTCCACATATCAAACATGATTCTTTCCATAGGAAGCATGTTTTATCATGCATCGTTGCAACGAATGTAAGAGCTTCTCCATTTTTTGTGTCTTTCATTGACTTTCTGTCCGTGTTTTGGATTCTGGTGTATATTGTGATTATCAATTATCATTAATCTTAACAGTTTTTCAAACATGATGCGAAAGTTTATTGCATTTTTTCAGGGGAACTTTGCATAAACTGTGATATTGATTATATAAGGAGTTCTTTTCCTTGGAATATTTTAACTACTTGATGATAATATCTTGCATAAATGGGAATTGAGCGATTGTACCGTTTCATTGTTTTTAACTTGATACAAGAAATATTTGACGCGGTTAGACATGACAATTGACAAGATGCCTTTTTAAATGCTGACAAAACTAGAATGGTTGCTAAGGAGACATTTAGAGTGAAATTGTGTTTAATGATCTTGTTATAGTTGAAGATCTTCATATTTGACAGGCAACAACAAGGTGATGAGACACCAATGGTGTGGGAAATGCTTCTTTATGTGTACATTCTCTATTCACCAGATTGGCACTACAGGAGCACTATGCCTACCTTTTTGTTTCTATATGGTGCAGCATTTGCCATTGTACATTCACAGGTTCGCTTTGCGATTGTCTTCAAGGTGCACTATGCATTACTCTGCCTTCTTTGCATTCCTCGGGCGTACAAATATTACATTCACACAAAAGACACGTCAGCTAAGTGTCTCGCCAAACTGTACGTGGCCACTTTACTGGTTGGAACCGCATGTTTTTTATTAGATGGCATGTTTTGCAAGGATATCTCAAGATGGCCCTTCAATCCACAGGGTCATGCAATGTGGCATGTAATGATGGGGTTCAACTCATATTTTGCCAACACATTTCTGATGTATTGTCGTGCTCAGCAACGGGGATGGGATCCAATTGTCAAATACTTGTTGGGTTTACTCCCCTATGTGAAGATTCAAAAGCCAAAGGATCAATAGTTCAATTGCCATCAAGAGCACTCACAAACTTAGAATGATATAATTATATAGCCATAGACCATAGTTGTTTTTTACATCAGTCTGATGTAAATGAAATTCAGAGAATAACAGTTTTGGTTGGTGATAGCCGATAGGCATCTAGCAGTCTTAATTTGACTGTAGATTTTTGAGCTAAATGCTTTTTTGTCTCATACCTTAAAATCTTGTCTAGTTTTCATCTCGTAATTATCAGTTGTTTCAATTTATTGTGGCTTAAAAACTTTCTTCTGATATTTTTTCGTCTAGACTTTTATGATGTACTCTAGCCTTGGACCCGGTTTGGGCCACCCGGCCTGGGAACCGGGTACTGGCTCCGGGTCTAGGCCCGGTTTAGGGGCGGTAACTGTGTCGTGAATCCACCCAAGAGTGTTGGACATCATATTTAAATAAGCTGGGCCAACTATTCAACTGGACGGGTTCAATTATTGCTGGGCCTGTTTATTAAATATTTATTGTTATGGGTGTTGTTGGGCTTCTTATTTAAATATCCACTGTTATGAATTATCTTTTACTATATAGGGAAAGTGTAAGGAAAAGGACAGATTATGAAATATCACAGAATTCTAGACTCTATCTCGTTCTGATTCTCTTCTTCCTTTTCTCTCTCTATTCTGTTACAATTCATTCGATCAAGTTATAAGCGGTATATCACATTTGGTATCAGAGAACTACGATCCAGGAAGATGGCTGACGGAACTCGATTGAAGGAATGCATCGAAGGGCAAAAAAGGATGGAGCAGTCATTCCTAGCAGAGATTCTGAAGAGAGAAGCTGCAGATCAAAAAAACGAGGAAGTGCAAGTCAGAAACCAGGAGATTCAATCTGAGATCCTTAAACAGTTGGAAAATATACAACGGCGCATTGATCAGATGGAGATTCGATCAGAAACAAATCACTCGAACTCACCTCATCAGAAGCTGAAAGAAGGAGACGTTGACCCCGGTCAGTCTGTGCACCTAGAGGGAGCTTCCATCCTGGGAGAGCCACCCTCGGGCTTCATTTTATCCAATCCGCAGTTTAACAAGCCGCACCAGAGACTCAAGCATTCAGATATAGCAGGTAACTATATTCCAAACCTCCCTTTCCCCAAGCTGGACTTCCCCCGTTTTGATGGAAACAACCCAAGGTCTTGGAGTGTCAAGTGTAATGGCTATTTTAAGATAATGTCACACATACCTATGGAACAACGAGTTACCCTAGCCACAATGCACTTTGAAGGAAAGGCACTCACCTGGTACCAACATTTAGACAAGGATCTTACTGTTTTGACATGGGATCAGTTCATGGGGGTTGTTTCAGCCAGATTTGATGGATTAAAGGCCTCTTCTATTATTGAAGATTTTAACAAACTGAGAATGGGATCAGATTATGAAGAGTATGTGGAGAAGTTCGAGGAGCTTAAATCATGTATGCAGATGCTACACAAAGGAACATTCTCAGAACAGTATTTTATATCTAGCTTTTTAAGTGGTCTCACAGAGGACCTTAAGTCATTTGTAAAAATGTTTAAACCAACTACCCTGGAAGCTACTGTGGAATTGGTCAAAAATCAATTGTTAACCCTTAATTCCTTGACAAGTAGACTCAGAACAGGGGAAAGACCCCAAGATGGTACAACCACCAGTGCAACAAGGGCAGCTATCTCCCTTAACAATTCTAACCACTCCAAGGTGAATCAAGCCAGAACACCCTCCTTCAAATACCTCACACAAACTGAAATGGCACACAAGAGAGAGAAAGGACTATGCTTCAATTGTGATGAGAAGTTCACACCTGGACACACATGTAAACACAAACACATTTATGTCCTTATGGAGGAAGAGGTTCAGGGATTAGATGAATCAACATACCTGGAGGATCCGGGGGCAAGTTATGAGAAAGAAGCTCCAGTGGAAGTGTTGTTGACCATGGGAACTGCTACCTGCACTAAAGGAACCACCACAATGACAGTAAAAGGAAGGGTTGGAAAGCATGATATACACATACTTATTGACTCTGGGGCATCCCTTAGTTTCATTAGCAGTAATGCAGCCCGAAAAGTAGCTTGTACACAGGAGGGAGTTAGTCCCTTGAGGGTAACTACTGCAGGAGGACAAAAACTGGTCAGTACATCACAGGTAACTAAATTCACTTGGAACATACAACAACATGAATTTAGCTATACCTTTAGAGTTCTACCTACACCACAATTTGACTTGATTCTGGGAGGTGATTGGCTAAGAGAGCTCACCCCTATTCAGTTGGACTACAAGAAAATGAGTGTTACAGTCACTTTGGAGGGGCAGAGGGTGGAAATACAGTGTGATGTGAGGTGCCCAGTCATTTCATGCCACACCCTTTACCAAATGCTGTGTGAAGAGGTGCCTAGTCCAATAGAGGAAGTTTATTGGATAAGAGGAAAGGGAGAGTATTCTGAAGAACCCCCAGGATTGAAAGATCTTTTACAGGAGTACCTGGATGTGTTTGAAGAACCGCAATCACTGCCACCACCTAGAGGAATTGAACACCAAATACTACTAAAACCTGGGAGCTTGCCTAAGCACCAGTTTCCTTACAGAGTTTCACCTTCTCAAAAGGATGAGGTAGAAAGAATAGTGGCAGAATTACTAAGGACAGGGGAAATTCAACCAAGCAAGAGCCCATTCTCTTCCCCAGTCCTTCTAGTCAAGAAAAAAGATGGCAGCTGGAGGATGTGTGTGGACTACAGATATCTCAACAGCCTCACCATTAAAAATGATTACCCTATACCCATTATTGATGAGCTGTTGGATGAGTTAAAAGGAGCTAGATTCTTCTCAAAAATTGATCTACGTTCTGGATATTTTCAGATTCTAATGGCCCCGGAACACAGGTATTTGACAGCTTTCAGGACCCATAATGGACACTATGAGTTCTTAGTTATGCCCTTTGGGCTGTGCAATGCCCCGGCTACATTTCAGTCCCTAATGAACCATATATTTAGGAAATTGTTGAGGAAATCAGTGCTAGTATTCTTTGATGACATACAAATCTACAGCTCAAACTGGGATCTTCACATTCAGCACCTAAAGGAAGTCCTCCTACTACTAAGGGAAAACAAACTATATGCTAAAAGGAGTAAATGCACTTTTGGGCAGGAATCTATCTCTTACCTGGGGCACATCATCAACCAAAAGGGAGTGGCCACTGATCCTGAGAAGATTGAGTGCATGATTAACTGGCCCACTCCTACCACCCTCAAGGAGTTGAGGGGATTTTTGGGCCTAACAGGTTACTATAGGAAATTTGTCAAGGGATATGGAATCATCAGTAGACCCTTGACTAATTTATTGAAAAAGGGAGGGTTTGTCTGGGGAGAAGAAGCTGAGCAAGCCTTTAGGGAGTTAAAGGCAGCCATGATCACCACCCCAGTCCTTGCCCTACCAGATTTCACCAAACCATTCTTCATAGAGACTGATGCCAGTGGTAGTGGAATTGGGGCAGTGCTTATGCAGGGAGGAAGGCCTATTGCCTTCTTAAGCAAAAAACTGGGACCCAAGCAACTGGGCCTATCAATTTATGAGAAGGAGTTTTTTGCAGTACTTATGGCAGTCCAAAAGTGGAGGCATTACCTGCAGGGGAATAAGTTTATAATTAAAACTGACCAACAGGCTCTGAAACACTTATTGGATCAGAAGATTACATCACCCCTACAGCAAAAGTGGATCACTAAACTTTTGGGAATGAATTATGAAATCCGGTACAAGAAGGGGGTTGAAAATAAAGCTGCGGATGCCCTATCCAGGAGGGCAGAAGGTACTGTGACATGTGGGTCTATTTCTGTGGTCGAGCCTACATGGGTACAACAGGTGAAGGAAAGCTATGAACAGGATGTTTTCTTGCTAAAGTTGTTAAAAGAGAAACTGGAAGACCCTATGTCACACCCAGAGTTTGACACCATCGATGGAATTCTGAGACACCAGGGAAGAGTAGTAGTGGGCAGTTCTACAGGGCTAAGGCAGATCATCTTCAAGGAGTTACATGCCTCAGCCATGGGTGGGCATTCGGGAATACAGGGCACATATATGAGGATCAGGAGGATCTTCTATTGGCCTAAAATGAAAAGGGATATCACCCAATGGGTGAAGGAGTGTGAGGTATGTGCTAAGACTAAGCCAGAAGGAGGGCCACATCCCGGGTTGCTGCAGCCCCTTCCCATACCTGACCAAGCTTGGAGCCATATTAGCATGGATTTCATAGAGGGTTTGCCCAAATCATATGGTAAGGATGTAATATTGGTGGTCATTGACAGGCTGACCAAATATGGGCATTTCCTGACTCTCTCACACCCCTATACATCTACTTCAGTTGCTAAGCTATTTATGGATAATATTTTCAAATTACATGGGCAACCCCTTGATATACTCACAGATAGGGGTGCAGTGTTCCTCAGTGGGTTTTGGAAGCAATTATTTAAGCTCATGGGAACTAACCTAACCTATACCTCATCTTATCATCCCCAGACTGACGGGCAAACGGAAAGGCTTAACCAGTGCTTGGAAGCCTATTTGAGGGCTATGGCACACCAGAATCCTAAACAATGGGCTCAATGGATCACAATGGCAGAATTCTGGTATAACACTAACTACCATACTAGCCTCAAAACTACTCCTTTTGAGGCCCTGTATGGGTATTCCCCACCCACCCTATCTTTACCTACTCCATCGTCCCTAACCCCAGCAGAAGTGAGGGAAATAATCACACAGAGACAGCGTATGAAACAGGAGTTGAAAGAAAATCTCAAGGTGGCTCAAGAGAGGATGAGGCATTATGCAGATTCAAGGAGAGTAGATAGAGAGTTCGAAGTAGGGGATAAGGTATACCTCAAACTCCAGCCTTATAGACAGCAGTCTGTCCAATTAAGAAAGAATCAGAAGTTGGCAGCACGATATTATGGTCCTTACACAATTCTGGAAAAGATAGGGAAGGTGGCTTACAAACTGGAACTACCAGAAGGGGCTATGATACACCCGGTCTTCCATGTCTCCCTCTTGAAGAAATGTGTCAGCTCTAGAGCAGTGATTCCTTCTACTCTTCCTGTAGTACATGAAGATGGTATTTTCGGCATCTCTCCATCATCCATTGCTAAGGTCGAGTTTGGAGAAAAGGGGGCTGCCCCAGTAACCCTGTTCTTTGTGGATGAGGATAAACAAGGACAGTTCAAGGGGTGGCTTTCAAAGAGGTCTTTCAAGAAGATGTTTCCGTTGATATATCCTTGGGGACAAGGATCTGAAAAGGGGGGGAGTATTGTCGTGAATCCACCCAAGAGTGTTGGACATCATATTTAAATAAGCTGGGCCAACTATTCAACTGGACGGGTTCAATTATTGCTGGGCCTGTTTATTAAATATTTATTGTTATGGGTGTTGTTGGGCTTCTTATTTAAATATCCACTGTTATGAATTATCTTTTACTATATAGGGAAAGTGTAAGGAAAAGGACAGATTATGAAATATCACAGAATTCTAGACTCTATCTCGTTCTGATTCTCTTCTTCCTTTTCTCTCTCTATTCTGTTACAATTCATTCGATCAAGTTATAAGCGGTATATCACAAACTGGGGCGGGTACGGGTCTGGGATATATGGAACTGGCCCGGCCGGTTTCCGGGCCCGGTTCAGGCTTTATTCTTTTTTTTTTTAATTTTTTTTTTTAACTTTCCGGGTTGGGCTGAGTATTTTGGGCCATTTGGGCTGGTTTGGGGGTAGGCCTGGACTCGGACTTGTTTGGGCCCGGCCCGGCTGGCGGTTCTGGAATGGGGGGCCCGGAACCGGCCCGGGTAATCCCCGGTTCCGGGTCGGGCCTTGGGCCTTTGTTAATTTTTTTTCCCCTTTCCCTAGTTAACCCCCAACCCCACCCCCAAATCACCCCAAATGGCCCAAAATACTCAGCCCAACCCGAAAAGTAAAAAAAATTGAAAAAAAATTAAAAAGGCCCGGAACCGGCCGGGCCGGTTCATGATTTGGGGGGCCCGAGCCCGGACCGGAACCCACGCGGGTCGGGCCTACCCGGGCCGGGCCACCGGGTCAGGCCTACCCGGTTCGGGCCGGAACAGTGCCGGTTCGAGCCGGTTCTGGGTCGGGCCACCCGGCCCGAGTCCAGGCCTATTTGGGGCAGGGGGTCGGGGGTTAATTAGAAAAAGCAAAAAATATATATATAAAGAGGCCCGACCCGGACCCGGTGGATACCCGGGACGGTCCCGGGCCCAACCCCAAATCCTAGAAAGCCCGTCGGGCCTAGGCCCGACCCGGCCCAAATCCACCCCTAATTTTACTTAGAATTTGACCAAAGTAAACTTACACAGTTTGGATTTTTTAATGAAGGTTTTTGTATGTTAGTTTATGTAAACAGTAGTCGGATATTAATGACTATTTTAAATATCCTTGAGAAGATTTAGATATTAGTAACACATAGTTTCCGATTTTTTAAATTATTAAATACACCCGGATCTTATTTTTGCTGAAAGCAGGTAAGGTTGGGAAGATTCGATAACTTCGGTTGGATTATAGCTTGTTAATGGAGTTCTGTAGAAAAACTGCTGAACTCGACATATTTTCAAATCATGAGGATAAATGTATCGATAATTACGGTAAAAAAAATTAAAAAGTGGACAAAACTTTTGGCGTGAATATGAATAACATTGGCTCTATATTTCATACAGATTATAATTTGGTTAATACCACACTCAATCACTCATTACCCACCACTACAGAAGATATAACATTGATAAACTTGAAATGTACTTAAGTGATAGTGTTGTAGACATTTTGTATCCATTTTGGATACAATCCTAGTTGTCTGTCCACAAAGCAATTGGTTGTGTTGGCAGATATATAGGGGTGTAAACAAAATGTGTACAAAATATATGTACCATTAGCTTTTTTCTAAGACTAAAAAATATTTATTTGCTATCAGCCTACTCTCTCCATCTCCATATAAAGATCTTGCTTTAAATTGCACACATGTTATGGAAATATTTTTTTTTACCTTTGACTTTTTGAAATACATCTTTTACTTAGGGGTAAATTTTGATACTATTTTGCACTGTTTAACATTATTTTGTATTATTTAACACTGCTTAAATGTATTATCGTAAAGTGATATAAGTTGTTTACAAATAGGGAAATTGAACTTTACTTGAGGACATTTTTTTGGAAGAAACTTTACTTGAGGACATCTAAAAAAAGTGAGATATCTATTTAAGGACGAAAGGGGGTATATTTCATATACCATACTTAAGATTAACACAAGAAAATTGTAATGTCATTTTTCTAAGATTAAAAAAGCTTTATCCGTTACACAAGAAAATTGTAATGTCATTTTTCTAAGATTAAAAAAGCTTTATCCGTTAAAGACATACTACCTCCGGTCCTAGAAGAAGTTCACTTTTTTCTCCCGCCAATTCAAATTAAAGTGTTGACTTCCATTTTAGCAAGTTTTACTACAAAATTACTCTTATATTCTTACTTTATTTATACCTTACACTCACTTGCACCTGATTTATTTTTTATTAGGATATAATAATGGGAAAGCCAAAGGTAAAACTATGAACTTGGAGGAGTATATTTCACACACCATACATACTTTACATACATGCTACAGTTCAATGGCAAGGTGCGTTTTATTTTTCAGTTTATAATAATTATTCACCCTTCTTCGAACAAATCTTAGCCGCACTGCCGCACGAATTCACTTCATTAAAATTTAAAACCATGAAGACAAGAGTTTTAACAAGGTTGTTTGTATATAGAGCATTAGCTTAGTATAGAGGAACGCTTGAAAAAAAAATGCTTTATAAACCAAGATAAACATGTCATTGGGGAGTTGGAGTTGATTGTACACACTTGCACCTGATTCTATCTGAAACTTCATTCCATTCTGTTCACTTCCAAACCATTGGTGTATTACTACATGAACACAATCAACCCCTTAAAAATATACTCTTCCACATTGATCACAAGAGATCTGGGAAAAACACTTTATCTTTTGGTCTCTTTCATATCCTTAATTGAAGGGCAAACAGAGCCTTCAAATGCCTTTGGCTCCAACAACTTCTCGTCGATCCACAAGGAACTCTTTTTACGCAAAAGCTCTATCTTCTCTTTCCTTTTCTCTTCAATCTTTTTTTCTCTCATCTTCCAATATTCAAGCTTCTCTTGTCTTTCTTTTAGCTGCATACAGCATGAAACAAATTCACTCATAATCCTCCTAAAAAACAATGAAGTCACATAAATTAAGAAAACCAAAGGCCCGAAGCTTTTCATTCTGCATATATCAGGAACCATGTTCCTTCCAAGATATATTAAATAGGAAAAATTGAAAATAATAATCCCAACTATTGCCGATCCGCTAACAATAATCCCAACTATTGATTATTTTTGTATAATCCCAACTATATGGACCGTCTAACAAATAATGGTCCATGTCCGGATATTACTTGCTAATATTAAGCGTAAAAATTAAAAGTTGGGATTATTTATAGGGATTACCTGCTATATCTCTTCATATCCACTTTAGAAACTATAGGAATTTATTTATAGCCGGTCACGTCGGACCATTAATGGTAGAAGGTCCCTAAAGTTGGGATTATTCTGAAATAATCGATAGTTGGGATTATTATTAGCGGACCGCCAATAGTTGAGATTATTACAATCAATTTTTCCTATTAAATAAAAGAATTGAAGCAGAATATGAGTTGGAACCTCTTCATTATCGGGGAATAATTTTCCATTTTTTCTTAAACATTTCAACTACACAACACGTGTAATTACAACACGTGTAAGAAGAATTCACAATGCTTATTTATTTCTTTAGTATTGCTAATGTCTTGTGAGTTCTCAATTTCCTAGCTGATGATGAGGTTACCAGTCAAAATCTATAACATAGCATTCGATCAAGCTTTTTAACTCCTTCCACTGTCTCCTAAGCCTTAGTCATGAATGGGCATTTCTGCATCAGAAATTTCTCATATGATCCCAGTATTCACAGCATACCAAAAAAACCTCACTTCATATTATTCATTCATAGCTAGTACTCTCACAATCCCATAAAAAACATATTTTTTTATAAATGACGATAAATTTTCAGGGAATTTGCCAAAAGAGTAGCCCAATTTAATACGTCAATACAGAGTATGCTAAGTTTAGGTAAACCATAAAAAGATTCTAAGATATAAGTTCCATTTATGATTTGTAAGAGTTGTACTTTGACAAAAATGAAAAACTTGAACCCTGGTCACATCTATGGCACGGTGGGAGTAATGCAAAAAACATAGAGTTAAAGATAGCTTGTAGTATCAGCTTAATGACTTTTCTGTACGAGTATCTATTTAGTAATTCGAGCAGTTTTACATACAAATTCTTGGGCATCCAACACTATATAGAACTAATAGAAGTCTTCAAATGCTTCAAGGAGGCTTGCTCCTCTTTACCTCCTAAGATTGCCCTTCCATTATTGTTTCTTATCACTTTGTAAATTGGGGTTGAATTTTTATAAACTAAGATAGAACACTCTGGAAGTGACAATGTATAGGTTTTCCCTTATACTGGGAGTCATGAAATCAAATTCCAACAATTTGCAAGAATTTCACTCCCACTATGATTAGGTAGTTCATATTGAGCAAATCTATGGCAGCAAATTCACTTACGAGGGTTTGGCGGAATTGCTCTTCAAAAATTGCTCTCTCTTCAGCCTTAGCCTTCTTCTCAGCCGCTTTAGTAGCCTTCCGTTCCTCATTGGCGATCCTCAGAGCTTCCTTCTTGGCCTCAGCTTTTCTCAGCTTTTCTAGCCGCATGACCTCCACCTCCTTGATGTACTCTTTACGAACTTCCTTGACCTTCTTGGCATAGTCGCGGCGAAGAAGGGCGAGCTTGGCTTCTGCCTCCTTGGGATCCTTCGGGGGCTTCCACGAGTTCAGGTACTCGTTTGGCGGCAGGAAGCTGTGGTTTTGTGGGTGCTGGTTCTTATGAAACGCCGTCGGGTGAGCGGCGGCGGTGGTGGAAAATGATCGGAGATGGTGGATCTCCAAGATTCGGGTGGTAAGGGGTTTCCGGGAAAGATACCGGGAGAGTGACATTTCAACGCTGCTGTGTTACAGAGGATCGAGAAAACCCTAGTGAAGTAAGAATGGAGAAATGCTTTATGACGGAGGAGAAGCAAAAAGATTTTGAGTCAATTCCCTATGTTAGTATAAAGAATAATATTGATTTCAAAAAACTTGGTAATTATAAAGAAAACTATAATAATTATGAAAGTTTAAATGCATAAATATTTAATATGCGTATATGAAAGACATTTAGCTAGTTTTTAATTTGACTGATTTCAGTCCCAAATCAGACCAAAGTTAAACAAATTGGACAAAATAAGACTAGGCTAAAATAGATCTGCTAAACAAGACCAAACTTAAACAATAGTAAAATTCACCAAAATCACCGGAATGGAGAAATGCTTTATGCTTTTGGATTGAGTGTTGAGGAGTGTTAGTAATGGAAATGTTAGTAAGTATTGATGCTAACACTTGTTTGGGAGAAAAAACCAGATGTGTTAAGAAGTGTTAGTAATGGTTAGGAAGTGTTAATAATAACCTTCCCAACACCTCAATTGTCCATTTTTTAACACCCCAATTTGGAGTGTTTTGAGGTGTTGGACAATTATTACCCTTCTCATTTGCCTGAAAAACATAAAATGCTTCGACATTTCACTTCGAATGTCTTTCCCACGGGTCTGATGGTTTGTTTTTTCATCTCTTCTCTTTACTCTTTCTTTAACACTTCCATTATTAACACTTCATTCATTTGACTCTCCCAAACAAGGTAAAATTATGTCTAACACTTACACTTCCCTTCCCTTCCGAACCCTTACTAACACTTACTAACACTTCCATTACTAACACTTCCAAACACTCCATCCAAACCCCATTTATTACTTAATCTAATCCCTTGGAACTAATTTAACCTTCCGTGTTTAATTTTTAATTGAGTTGAAGATTAAAATTGCTCCTTGAAGCTTCACACACCCACGACACTATTCGGTTTTAATCAATTCAAAATTAACTCTACAACTAATTATAATAGTGTGGTGCAAATAATTGATTTTTTTTCTCTAAAATGTTACTATCGTATATCTTTTTCATTTGCACTTCAATCTTTTACAACGAATGTATCATAGTAAATAGTTATTTTTATTACATTTCATATCGTATGACATCAATATTACATCTAAAAAAGGGAAAGTTCTCGAAATAGGAATAAATTAGTTTGAAAATTCCAAAATAGGAGTAATTACTATCAAGTTTGAAAATATTGTCATCTTTAAAGTCTGGTACTGCCAAAATATGACAGTAATTAATCCTATTTTGGGATTAAAAACATGACAGTTCTATTTTGCAATATACAAACGTTTTTAGTCCTATTTAGGTAATTTCCCAATAAAATAGTCTTGTGTGTTAAGTTTGGAGAATGGCTGGTGAATTTGAATTTTACTATTGTTTAAGTTTGGTCTTGTTTAGCATGATCTATTTTAGCCTAGTCTTATTTTGTCCAATTTATTTAACTTTGGTCTGATTTGGGACTGAAATCAGTCAAATTAAAAACTAGCTAAATGTCTTTCATATGCGTGCATTTCACGCATATTAAATATTTATGCATTTAAACTTTCATAATTATTATAGTTTTCTTTATAATTACCAAGTTTTTGAAATCAATATTATTCTCAAAAAAACATTTTGATATTAATAACTTGTTAATTTACATATAAATAACATATTTACCAAGTTTTTGAAATTCATTATATCCTAAATGTCTCTCATATGCGTGCTTATATTTACGGACATTAATTTTCTGAATTTTTTAAATTTCAATCATTTTAAATATTATTTTTGTTAAGTACATTTTAAATATTTTTGTTATTATAAACTATTATTTACACCATTCTAGATTTTGGAAGATTGAGATAAAATTATTAATTTATTTAAGAAGTGATAAAGTTAAAATTTTAGTTTTAAAAAACTGCAATTTTACTTATTTTATACATTGGAACAAATGTGACTTAAGTTTATAATTTCTTTTAGGGTTGGTTTGCAACTCCTATTAAAAAGCACTTCTCAGCTTTTGGCTTTAAAAAAACACTTATTTTCCCAAACACTACAACTTTTATTTTTCTCGGCTTTCGTGTCAAAAGTGCTTTTACTTTTTCTATTACACAAAAAACACTTAGGGAGTGTTTGCAACTGCTTCTGCTTAAAAAAAAGCACTTTTGGAGATGTAAGGAAAAAGTGATTAGTAGGAAAAGATGATAGTGTTTGAGAAAAAAAGTGATTTTGAAAAGTAAAAGTTGATAGTGTTTGGTAAAATAAGTGCTTTTGGTGTAATAGAAAGGGGAAAAATACTTTTCACACGCAAGCCGAGAAAAAGTAAAAATTGGTAGTGTTTGGTAAATAAGTGTTTTTTTAAGGCAAAAGCTGAGAAGTGCTTTTTTTAAGTGATTGCAAACACTCCCTTATTTCACCAAACACTACTCACTTTTACTTTTCAAAATCACTTTTTTCTCAAACACTATCAACTTTTATTTAATCATTTCTCCTCATTTCATTAAAAAAACACTTTTTTAAAAGCAGAAGCTGTTGCAAACAGACCCTTAGTATTCATAAATACACAAAAAAGTATAAAAACAATAATAAAATACTCCTTATGTTTTCTTGAGTTCCAAAGAACAAATGTAATAAATCAATCAGAAGGAAAAAAAAGGAGATGATGCATGATGCTACGTATTTCAAGGTTGACTTGGCGCAACAAAATAAGGTTTGGGACTAAATGGTCCGATCGTGTAAAATTGTTGGTGCGCTAAGTAAATTTGTGGGTGCGCGGAGCAGGTGCGATTCCCTAAATAGGATTAAAAAGTGGCAAAATTGCACAAATAGAATTACATTTTTTAAATTCCCCTAATAGGACTATTTATGTGTGTATGGACAAATATACCCTTGTAGCTTGTGAAATGTTTTAATTAATACGTAGTAATAAAATCATAAAAAAAATCGAAAAAAATTCTAAAAATCATAAAAAATAGAAAATTAATAAAAATATTTAAAAAAAAAATCGTAAAATTAAAAAAAAAAAAATTATCACCCTGCCACCCCCAGCACCACCAGCTCCCATCACCGGAGAAAAATATGCCAACATTTTAAATAATTCCATAATGATGCATATTCAATGAAAATGTTGGCATATTGAAGAGTAATTATGCCATCTTTTTGGCATTTTCAGAAAAAGATGGCATTATTTTACCAAAGTGGAAAAAATTTCACCAATTGGAGGTGGTGGTGCTAGGAGGCGGCGGGAGGCGGTGGGAAAGGTATCCATAATTTTTTTTCATTTTTTATGGGTTTTTACTATTTTTTATTATTTTAAAAAAAAAAATTAAATATTTTATTTTGTAAATATTGTATAAATTTTTTATAATTTTTTTAGGTTTAATAATTTTTTTTTACGTTTTTATGATTTTATTATGAATTAAAGCATTTCATTATGAATTAATACTCTTAGGGGTATTTAAGGTAGAAAATCAATATTTAGTCCTATTTAGGGAATTTAAAAAGTAGTAGTCCAATTTGTGCTTTTTAGGAACTCATTAGTCCTATTTAGGACAATTTCCGAAAGATTTTCTGTTAATTTTTTTTGGAAAAACACTACTACGTTTGTCCTGTTAAGATTGTCTCGTTTTACCTTTTTGATCCGTCCCACTAAGATTGTCTCATACCAAATTTGGTAAAATTTTGTGATTCTAAATCATTCTTATTTTATTCTTACTTTATCAATTTAATATCAACCACATACACAACTTTTTTTTACTTTGCGTGTCACTCCCTCTTGTCCCATTGCTAGTGGGACGGAGAGAGTACTCCGTAAAATTTTGGTTTTTTTCCTTTCTAAAACTTGTAAAATGGTTATGTATCTTCTCTCTAGGGTTTCACAACCCTTAGAGCTTTTTTTCCGTCTTCGATTATACGAAGGACGGTTGGGTTTCTCCTCGGCGATCTTCATCCACGGAAGTCCACTTCTCGCTGTTTGGTGGAGTCGAGCGAGGTTTCGTTGTCACTTCGGAGTTGATTTGTTGATCGTGAGGTCGGGCGAGAACAGGGAAGCAATTTTCTTTTGTCGAGGTGGAGGGGTCGACAGAGAAGAAGATGGCCGTGAGGGGTAATGTAGCTATAAGTGCGGGATGAGGAGTGTTGTAAGGACTTCGAGTATGCCAGATTGCGTTCGACAATGGAGGATCAATTAGCATGGTACCGGTGGTACGACCTCCTTCTGAACCACCACCATGGGTTGTACGAGCTGCCAGAGTCCGTGAAAGTTTTCCTAGTAATTTTTATCTGTTTGTCATTTGTTTTCTTGTGTCCATCTTTGTTGTTGGTTTTGACAGTTTGTTTGAGTTTTTAGCCTCTCTTTATGTCATTGGGTATGGTTGGATCTATAAGAACAAGTTTGGCTGTGTCAAGCTCAATACATGGTTAGTGATTCGTGTTGCTCTTTCAGGGGTGACCGTCTCAAAGTCTGATCATAGGGTTTACAGCCGTAGTTGTTGGAGTTTAGTTGGCTTCAGGTTTATTTTCTCTTTGTTTGATGTAATGATCCTGAATCTTTTCATATGAAATTATGAATATGATAAAAAAAACTTGTAAAATGGTTCCCTAAAAAGTAGCCTTGTAAAATGGTAGGGTGAACAAGCTCTTTGTTTTTTTAAACAATAAATGGATGAGCTGTGATAGATGTACACATTTTAGTGTACATTTTCCGTACACCCGTTTATATCATGCACACTGAATTGTCTGTCCATACACAAGGACAGACAATTCTGTGTGCGTGAGACAGACGAGTGTAACACCAAACATTTTTCAAATTTCATAAATGGATACTCTGTATGTTTATTGTTTTCTAAATTTTCCTTTGAATTAAAAAAAAGGTGACAACTCCGGTACCCATTTAAAAAATGGGGTACCGTACCTACCATGAATTTGATTGGTCCAAAACATTATATCCTTTTTAATTTAGATTTAAATAATTCAACTGCATCATTCTGATTGGTCCATGTGGACAAAGGTATGGTACCTTATGGGTACCATATAATCTATATATATATATATATATATATATATATATATATATATTAATAAAATCTTGGCAAATGT